AAGGTCCCAGGTTCGATTCCGGTCAGGGTATGTGCCTGGGTTGCAGGCACATCCCCAGTGGGAGATGTGCAGGAGGCAGCTGATGGATGTCTCTCTCTCATCGATGTTTCTGACTCTCTCCCTTCCTCTCTGTAAAAAAATCAATAAAATATATTTTTAAAAAAAGAATATCCAGTTCAAAGAAACAATACATTGATATGCTCCAGAAGTTGGGGTTGGGGGCAATAGGAAATGACTGCAAATGGTATGAACATATTACCCTGATGTGTTCTAAAATTAGATTGTGGTGATGTTTGCAAAATTCTCTAATGTAGAAATGTTTGAATTTTATACTGATGGTTTAGCAAACTATACTCAATTTTTAAAAAGCATTTCTGAACCTCCTAGCCTTTAGGTAACTTTACGGAGTTAGCAAAATCAGGTGCTGGAGGGAAAAGATTTAAAAGCCTAGTTTATTTCCCTAGACTCCCATTCTTCCTCTCAGGCTGCCCAATCTAAAACCTTTACCTAGATATTTATGTGTTTTATCCAGCTTTTCCAGTTGTCCTCCATTGCAAGGTTTCTCAGAATTTCTGCTATACCACCTAAAGCCTCATAGGCAGTTTAAGCTCATTTATGACTTTAGTATCTGTATTTAGATTTATATCTCTAGTCTAGCGGTTCTTATGTTTTATAATCTAAGGAGCCCTTTGCATTCTTTGATGTTATTTGAGTTTTTGGTTATATTGTATATATCAATAATTACCATATATACAAAATGTTAAAACAAAATTTTTTTATTGATTTTATATAAACCGATTTGTTGTTCCATTTATTTTATGCACTCATTAGTTGATTCTTGTATGTGCCCTAACTGGTGATCAAACCCACAACTTGGCATATTGGGACAGCCTTCAAACCAACTGAGCTATCCAGGGAAAAACAAAACTTTTTAATGTTTTTAAATTTCCTTTAAAATAACATTAGGAGAAATAACAAATGAACCCTTGTGCACTCTTGGTAAGAATGTAAATGACGCAGCCACAATCTAAGCCTTTGCTCATGCTCTACCTGGATCCTTTTACCCTTCTTTGCTGACTGAATTTTCTAATTCTTTCGTCATGTCTTTTCCTGAGGCAATAATGTTCACATCTCCCTCCAGAGAACAAGTATCTTATACTTCTCTGTTCTCACATTTTGCTTATCCTCATTATGATAACGTTTTGAGAGCATTTGCTTTATATGTCTGTCTCCCAGTTCTACTTTGAGTTCCATGAATATTTGATGGTCTCAAAGTAATTTTCTAATTTTATGAGACTAGCACAATGGCTCATAACTAGTGGGCATTAGGTGTGTTCTATGAACAAATTGAGGCACCCATAAAAGGACATCTCAGATTTTCAGCAGATACTTATTTTCTGCTTGATCTTTGCCATTGTATTCAGAGCTAGGGATACCAAGCCAAACAAGCATAGTCCTGCTTTCAAGGAACTCATTAATTTATTTTTTAGGGACTGGTTTAACATACAGTACATTTAACATCTATGTGTTAATATTGTGATTTGTCATATATCCTGACCCCTCCTTAGAACATAGTTTTATTATCGTTTATGAAGCGAGAAGAATAGACCAGATGACCTGGAGCACTTAGCATTGTTGACTGTTGTTAGGTTTTTTAAGTTCCTTGATAGTAGGAATCATGTCTTTCACTTCTACTGGAAGCTTACATAGGGCAAAGTATAGTGAATCACATTCAGTGGTTGGTTAGCAAATTTTAAAGAAAGAGGTAATATCAGTGAATACTTCAAATGAATTTGATTCTATTTTTCACTCCACTCATCTTGTATTGTCCCTTTTCTGTACTTCATAATATCTGTATTTCCTTGACATAGATCAGTCTCAACTTTTGTGTATAGCTTTTAAGATACATACATATGCAGGGTGGGGCAAAAGTAGGTTTACAGTTGTGAGTATGTGGAACAGTTTATTGTGTTATTATTTATTAATTATTGTATTATTTTCTATATGAACAACTATAAACCTGCTTTTGCCCCATCCTGTATATATATTTTTTCTGGAATCTGTTTTTTTTTAATTTTAATTTTTTTCTGTATTGATTAAGGTATTACATATGTGTCCTTATCCCCCCATTGCCTCCCCCTCCCACTCATGCCCTCACCCCCCTGTTAAGCAAAGTCTCTTTCTGTGCCCATTTCCTCCCTTTGCCCATCCCCACCTCCCCCACCACCTTCTCCAGCTGT